GTTGACATTTGTAGTAATCTTCCACACATATTTTTAAAGTCTAGGGATGTTAACTGGTACTATTAGACATATTTTATTGTCGTTGGGAATTAGCTCCATTAAGGCAAGAAAATTAATTCCTCTGAAACTCCAGCGGTTCTGCAAATAGTTGTAAAACTTGTTTTTGTCAGTGAAATAAACAGATTATGAGGAATGAGAAGGGGCCATTCCTTGAGTCACTTTTCTTACTCTACTCTTTAAAATGATCCAACATTACAGGCCCTGGGACCCCGAGGGGCACTAAAACATGTAACGACTTTGAGGAAGTCGGAGGCTTCAGCAGCAGGTGGTCTGACTTTGTTAGCGCTGGAAAGTCTCTGGTGTTTAAAACTGAAATGACTACAGGAGACCAGAGGACGACAGTGTATCATTATGCAGCTTCTTCGTCCCAAAATACATTTTCCAGGTTTCAGGCTGGCCTTCCTAAACGGCTAACACTTCAGTATTGCAACATGAACGTGTTGCACACGAACATTTTATCTTTCATATTATGGCACTTGAAATGCAGAACGTCATTTTGTTTAGGAACAGTTCATACAGCTCTCGCTCAGCTGTTGCATCAAGCTAACATCCAGTGTTAAAAAAAAAAAAAAAAAATAAGGTCTCTTTCTTGTGAAAGTAGCGCATTGCTCAGGAAAGAGCATGGGCTTTGGAGTCTTGCTTTGGTTTAATTCCGAGTCTGCTACTTATTAGCTGGGTCACTTTGGGTAAGCTTTTCTCAGCATCTCATCTGTAACAGGAGGACAATACTTAACTCGCAGGCAGACTGGGAGGGCTCAGGGAATGGCCAGCACCAGGACCGAACTTAGGAAGCGCTCAACAAAGGCGGGTCCCTCCCACCCTTATGCTCCAGGTCCCCAGGAATTTATTGCAAAAAATCAACTGGAACAGAGATCGTCACAAAACAAAAGATACTTTGTAAGAATCATTTCGCTGCATGGGTTTATATCTAGCATTAGCTCAGAGTGAGATGTCTGTGGCTGTACGTGAGTTTTAATTTATAAAGTCCTCGTTCTACCTCTTTACTGAGAAAACTGCTAGGTTTTTGTTGTTTTGTTTTTCCTTAGCTACTTTGAGCTTCTTGCTTTAGTCCTTGTAGAGCAAAGAGTCCTTTCTCCAGAATATAAATGCCATGCCCGGGAGGGTGCTGAATGGGTAATACGCGATGATGAGTTGTATTTCTCTGGTCTTATCCTACCTTCGGGAACTATCATTACAAAATTTATGCAATTCTGTGTTCTGTGCCATCGATGTTTGTGGGTACTGACATGACTATTAAATCGCATTATAAGGTATACTGCTAACATGTTAACGTTAATAGTTATTAATACTAAAAAAGTTCACTTTTTGTTGAACAGTATAACACAGTGTGAAAAGACCAAAAAAAAAAAAGAAAAAATGAATAAAGATCAAGATACCTTCTCACTAACCATATCTTACTCCCAAGTCCTGGCCAGCAGTTTACTCAATCTTACATGGTCTTTCATTTTCATACCAAGCTACCCAAACTCTGATTTGTTTGATGCAATTATACAACTACCACTTAAATATTGTTACCTTATTTCCAAATTTACTAAAATGCTGCAACTTAAGGTCTTTGACGGAGGTAAGTGGAAAGACACCATGTTTGATAGGCTGTTTCACGTAGAAACACTAAAAAATGTTAGCGTTGGTATAAACCCATTTACGGTTCTGGAATGTGTTGGAATGTGTTATCTTAAAGGATTTCCAGTGATCTCTGAAGAGGGGTAAATTTTCATTTGTCTGTGTATCGGTTAGCAAGCTATTTTGGCTGACTCTTTAAAACGAATCTCCAGGACGTCAGTGACCGCTCATTCACAGCACGCGAGAGCCGTCCCGTACTAGGTCGTGGCCGTCGGGGGGACAAGCAATATAACAGGCCTAAGCTCTGCCCTGGAGGCAGGAACATTTCATTGTTTTTCCATTTTTCTTTTCTTCTTTTTTTTTTTTTTGAAGACAGGGTCTCGCTCCGTCACTCAGGCTGGAGTGCAGTGGCTTGATCACAGCTCGCTGTAACCTCGAACTCCTGGGCTCAAGGGATCTGCAGGCCCCCGCCTCAGCCTCCCGAGAAGCTGGGACTCTAGGTGCACCCACCATGCCTGGCTACTCTTCTCTTTACAAATGTTGGACAGAACCATCATCACGGTGGTTGGAGTACACCAAGGGAAAACATTTGATGTATCTCTCCGTCCTCAATCCTCACCAAAGTATTAGCAACACTGATATAAAATCTAGTATGGAAACTGAGAAATATAATTTCTTTTCTATTAGTTCAGGAGCAATGTTAAAATTCCTTTTCAGGC